GGTACTAGTTTAGGAGTATGGGCGCCTGCTTTGATGTCGGTGGCGATGAAATGGGGATGGGCTGAAAGAGTGAAAGCTACATTAAAGAGCCCACATACAGCTCTGCAAGTATGGCTGCTATTCACTGTATATCAACATCTCAAGATAATCAACTAATTCTTGCACCAATGCCATGAAATCCACCATTTTTCTCTGACCACAAACCCTCAGTCTCTCAGATCTTGAGAAGATCAAAGAAGCAGATCAGAATGACTGCAGAAGAGACAAAGTTTGAGCAGTTGCCGGAGGATGTGGTAGCGGAGATCTTATCAAGGCTGCCTGCCAAGTCCCTTCTGCAGTGCAAATCGCTGCGCAAGAACTGGCGCACTCTCATTCAAACCCCAAATTTCGTCGCAAAGCACCACCACCATCCCACCAACCCCGCACTCTCCTTCGTTCACCATTACTCGCTCGACGCCATGGAATCTGGGTTTTCATTGTTCGATGAAGAAACCCAAGTTCTCGCCTCCCATTCCTACCAAGATTACACCAACACTTCGGTTTCCGTGTGGGAAATAAACGGCCCGCTAAACGGGCTGTTTTCTCTGTACAATGATCAAGAACAGGTGACTCTTTGGAACCCTGCTACTAGGGAGGCCAAGTCTCTCCCAGTTTCATACCCAGAAGTTTCTGCCTCGTTTCGTATGAATTCGTATAAACTAGGATTTGGGATGGACCCATCAAACGGCAATTATAAAGTTGTTTGGATAAGAGACTATTGGGATCCAATCGCGGATGCTTGGCATTCACCTGCGATTATCTCAGTTTATACACTCACCACTGATTCCTGGAAACACTTTGAAGAACTTCATATCTGCAGCCGCATACTGGGTAAATCTTGCTGTAACGCATACTTGGATGGTTTTTACTACTGGAGAGCAAACAACAATGGGAAGATCGTTTCATTCGACATGGGAAATGAGGTTTTTCGGGAGATCCAAACACCAGAAACATTCAAATCCACGCAGGGAGATTTGGCTTTGTACAATGATTCTGTTGCTATGTTTCTGTATGAATCGATGAATATGCAGACAAGCATTGATGTATGGGTTATGGATAGGGCAATGTGTTGGACCAAAATGGCGAGTCTTGGACCCTTTTTGAATATCAAGAGGCCGCTGGGATATGGGAAAAATGGTGAAGTTTTGTTAGAAATTGTGAATTCGGAACTGCACATGTATGATCCTAGGAGCAAAGAAATCAGGGCTCTTGGACCTAGGAGAAAAGGATATTCTCTGCAGGCTTCTGTATTCAAGGAGAGCTTAGTTTCAATCAAGAATCTAGTTGCTCAAAAGTGAGAAGTGTAAGAATATAATTTTGCATATAATATAATGTACTAGTACTCCGTATTAGAGATGGTAACGCGGCGGGGGCTAGGACTTCCCGTCTCTGTCCCCAAAACTCTGATTCCGTCTTCATTCATGACTGGAAATTTAAAATAGTCTTTATCTTCGCCCCATGCGAGAAATCAACAATCAAAATATTAAAGTGTAATTTTTAATTTTAAAAATTCACACACACATACAGTTCATGCTATAACTTTAAATACTTACCGTTCATTGTTTGGTTTAGTAGTAGACGATGTAAAGGAGGTTGCATCTCAGATTCCTGATGTGATCTTCTATTTTGCCGTTTCTTTGTCAGGTTGCGGGGAGTGGTATCACTCACCCCCTCAGTTTCTTGTGAACATTCTTAGTTCTGATCTAATGCATTAAGTTTTTATTCTCAAAAAAATTCACACACACACACACACACACATATATATATATATAGAGCAAATACCAATTTTGATCCCACGAGTATTAGCAAAATGACGATTTTGGTTCACATGTTTAATTCCAACCAATTTTCATCCACGACTATTGTTTTAGTACCAATTTTAATCCACGACTATTATTTTAGTACCAAAATTCATCACGTCGGTTACCTATCCATTTAAGACATCTCGAAATCTAAAAATTTTAAGGGCATTTTCGTCCTTTTCAACTTAAGATTCCAATTTGTGCATAAATAAATGAATTTAAGCCATAAGATCGATTCCAATTCGCAAATCTCCTCCTCATTATACCTTAATTTGAGGAGGAAAATTGCAGCTTGGGAGATATCTTAGGACTTAAATCCCTTTATTCATGCTCAAATAGGGATCCTAATTTGAAAAGCACAAAACTACCCTTAATAATTTCATATTTCGGCATGTCTTAAACGAAGGAGTGATTGACGTGATGAATTTTGGCACTAAAATAATAGTTGTGGATGAAAATTGATACTAAAACAATAGTCGTTGATAAAAATTGGTATGAATTAAACATATGGACCAAAACTATCATTTTGCTAATACTCATGGGACCAAAATTCGTATTTGCTCTCTCTCTCTCTCTCTCTCTCTCTCTCTCTCTATATATATATATATATATATATATATATATATATATATATATATATATATATTATTCGGTGACGGAGACGGGTGGGGAGGATATCCCGTCCTCCTCCCTAACGAGGAATTACATATTTTTTCCGTGTCGTCCTCGTTTTCTGAAAACTTTCTCCATTCTCGTCGAGAGCTATACGAGACAAATTGTCATCTCTAACTAGCTAATATATATTAAGAAGTATTTAAATATTTGTAACGTAAATATATATTAAGGTGATTAAGATATTCAATTTGATTTTAACTATATATATATATATATATATATATATATATATATATATATATATATATATCTACAATTTTAATAAGAGCGAATATTGTTAGGCCCTTAACTGGAACAAAAAAATGTCGGTCCTATTGTTTCTTAAAATGAATGGTTCATATTATACTATTGTTTCTTAAAATGAATGGTTCATATTATTTTTATTTTAGTATTTTTTTATTGATTTTCCTTATTTACCCTCTATTATATTATTTTCTTCCCTTAAGTCCGTTAACATAAACTTTAGTAACGAATTTCCGTTAACTATTTATTATTTTAACTTACACATTAATTTCTATAAGAAAAGTCTTAGTTTCGAACCACATCCCAATTAGAATTGGCATAATTGTTAAACATATACTACGAATATGTTAAAATATATTTAAAATATATATAATATAAAATTTAACATAAACTTTGTTCAAATAATTAGTCTGACTAAATACATAGCATTCAAAGTTAAGCATCAAAGATTATAAATCAAGAATTTTAAAAATCATTTGATTTTTATGCATTTAAAAGAAAAACATATTTACCGGGTTGGACTTCCATTTGGAAGATTGTGATTTCGAGCCTCAGTGGAGGCGTTATTGGCTCTTTGTGTTTCAGTAGGTTGAGAAAGTATATGAACAGATACTACATTGTAATAGAGCTAGTAGCATTCAAAAAAAAGAAAAACATATTTAGGTTAAGTTTTTTTTTTTTTTTTTTTTAATTAATCTTCTTTTGATTATTTAGATTAGAAAAAAACTTAATATTTGAATTATATTTTTGCATTATTGGTATGATTTAGGTCGTTATGGTATTCATATTTTTAGTATGTATTTTTATAATGGTACAATTATTGTATATTACTTTACAAATATTATACTATTATTTTTTTATCGAACAAAATTGTTCTTACATCATTGTTAGGCCTGCACGACCTAACTACAAAATTGTTGATCATAAATACAATTACACCTGAACTCTAAAATGGTAGGATCATTTTCTAACGAATGACAATGCTGACATTCCACTGGCTCTAATTGAACAAGTTTAGACATCAGAATTTTATCAATGCATGAAAACTTCTAAAGAAATTTATAAGTTAATTTTTACTATATTATTATAACAATATCAATTGTAACTATATATTTTAAATTATTTATTATATCCTATATTGACAGGAATTGTAACAATTGTCATTGACACACTCTCAAAACAATTTGTCTCAACAACGAATGTAAATTAAAAAAAAAAAATCAACGATTGCGTTATTGTTGATGAAAAGTATGTATGTCACTTTATTACTCTTATTAAACTAAAATAAAGTAGTAGCTACAACAAAAAATAATACATATGCATTTAATTAATTTAGAATTAGATGTCTATAATGCCTTTATTTAAAAAAAAAAATCTTCATTATAAAAAAATTAAAAATAGATATAATTTTATTAGTTATATTATCTTTATTTTCTACAATTCAAAGATTCATTACCTTCAAATTTATTAATTTATTATATTCACGACATTGTCCATTGTCTTCTTTTTACATTATCTTGTAATTCTTTTTACATTATCTTGTAATTAAATATCAAAGTTATAATACAAAATACATTATATATATATTTATTTACCAAGTATTTTATACAAATATAATAAATATTAATATTTTGTTCGATACTTTCACATGATAACCTACGACACACATCTCACAATGCATGAAACATGTAGGGGAAAACTACCACTACCAAATATCGATTAGAAAATTCAATAAATATTATCTTGCATTTATATATTTTAAATTACCGATTTAAATAAACAAATTCAATACTAATTTACATATGCATGAACATCTCCGATATAATATTGCATTGATATACTTATTAAAAATAATAATTGGGCATTATCCCATTGGGGCAAAGCGCGTAAAAAAATTAGTATATATAATACGGAGTAATAACAATATGTAGACTTTTAATTAAAATGATCCTTAAACTTTTGCAGTCAGAATACACTCCACTATTTCAAAGAGAAATAGTAGACAAAAAGGACGAATATTCTCCTGCAAGTCTACCATTTCTATCAATCATTCTAAAACTTTTACTAATATGAGATTAGACTCCTTGTGTTTTAAATTTCATTATGTTTATGTTAGTTTATTTATCTAACATGACGAATATTACAAATCTTGCAACTTGTAGTAAATCCATATGAAACATTGAAACTTTGATTGAACTCTTAACCAAATGCAAGAATCTACAATGTAACCATCCCAAGCGATATGTCAGAACTCAAAAGTCTTATGCATACTTCATATATTACAGAAATGCGAGATGAGAGCATGGGTATAAATATAAAATATATATCACTTAGGAAACCTATATATTCTAAGGTATTTTCCAAAGCCAACTTATGAAACTGGGTGTTCCAGTTCCAGATCTGCATGCAGGTATTCAGGTTTGCCAACAAAGGAGTTGATGATAATAAGGTTGTCTAGCTTCTGTCATGTTTTTGACAATCTAGTCTCCTGGACAGATAGATGATGGCAATTGTCAGGTTGTTTAATTTTCTCAATGCTTAGGTTGCACTTCAATTTGTATCATCAAGAGGGCCAACTCAAGGTCCTCCTAAGCAGCCTCAGTTTCTTGCTCGCCTTCTGAGCCTTCGTCGGTGTTGTTGGTTTCACTTCCTCGAAAGCCTGATCGGATCATCGACAGCCAAAACATTATCAGAATCATCATATGATAATGTTGAATATAATGGGAGTTTCCAAGATTCATTTACCTCTTGCTTTCTTTTCCTGTCCATCTCGTCCTGCTCGTTAGATAGAAAACAAGTGCATGCTTTATCAGAACTCGATGTGATTGATGATTCGATATAAATGAATTTATGTTAATGTATTATGACATACCAGGGCTTGTTTCAGACTAGCATTTTCTTCTTTCAACTGATTCAGTTCTGCTTCAAGTTCGACTGTGTATGCCTGAAATACAATAATATATATTGAAGCAATGGAAGGATAGGATCATTACCATTATCAGAACTCATAGCTGAGATAAATAGATCATTGATGGTACAAAGCACATTCCTAATTTAGAAGTTAGCTTTCCAGAACTAGTAATTTTAGGTTGAATCAGAAAGGATCTATGCCAAGAAAGTAATCGAATGAAGGCATCTATCATACTTCATGGAGTTCCAACATTATAGTAAAAACATAGAATCTAAATTGAAGTTTACTCGGAGATCGATCCTAGGAAAAAAGGCTGAGAATGTTTGATCAGTTCATTGAAAAACTGACACAAACATATAGAAACAATACCTGCTTTCTTGCTCGGGATCTTGCAGCTGATTCCCTGTTCTTGATCATCCTTCTTTGTCTGCGTTCGACCACCTTCTCCACGGGGCCATCTATGATGCGCTTCCGTCCTCCTCCTCCTCCTCGTATCCCTGTATCCAGTCCATAATGCTGGTTTCCTCCATCCCCACCTGGATTCACACACAACCCATCCGGGGACACGGGGCTCACGGGGGATCCCAAACCTAGTCCTTGCATGTGTGCGTACCCGACAGCACTTCCGTTCCCCATTCTTCCACCATAAACAGGAGGGGATGGTTGTGCATATCCACCTCCCCTTTTCGGATACCCGGGTGCCTCAGCCACAACTCCGCCTTGTGGAAGTGCCTGGTAAGCTGGGACCGCGCCACCCCCGCCTAAGCCCATAACTGGCCTGGCCACATAAGTGGGGGCAATAGCTGCAGGAGTGTTGTTGTTTGGGTACATTGCTGCAGCTGCATACTGCTGGGGACGAGCGGGTGGGGGGGCGGCGGTATTGCCCTGCTCCCGAACCACCCCGGCTCGAACTAGGAAGTCTTCCAGTGTCATTTCTCCAAAAGTAACTTGTCTCTGAGTATTATTATTATTATTATTATTATTATTACCACCAGGATCATTATTCTGAAATTTCCCATCACTATTATGCTGCTGTTGCTGCTGCTGGTGGGTTTTGTGGATTTCAGCCCACACTTCATCCACCGTCTTCCTGCACAAAGGCGGTGGAAGCGTGAGCGAAGCCTGCCTCGCTAAGCTCTGCTGCCTCGCAATCCCTTTCTCCGCTGGAACGCTAGCCTGTCCCAGCATAAAATTATGCGTGACAGCGTTACTTTCAGCAGCAGCACCGACATGAGGATGAGGATGGGGTTGAGCGTGGGCATGAGCTTGGTTTTCCTCGGCGGTCCAAATGCTGTTAAGGAACTCGTCCATGTTCATGGACCCAAAGTTCTTGCCACTCTCACAGAGAGTGTGCTGGAACTCATCGAGTGTGAGCGAGTAAATCGACGACTGCCTCCCTAGGGACGACAATCCCTCGTTGTTCTTCTGCTGTTGTTGCTGCTCTGCCTGCAATTGCAACGGCGATTCCACCTCGCCTTGAGATGCCGCTTCTGATTCTGGGACAACCATCTTAGCTAGCTCTCGCCTCTCTGGTGTTCTTGGACTTACTAAACCTCTAATTTTCTCCTCCTGCACCTCAAGTATATATAATCTAATTTTATTATATTTTCATATCTCAGAACATGGTTGCATGCGGATCAAATATAGGGAGCCAAGAACTTGAACTCTTTGCATATATACACAAGTTGAACAACCAGTTATATATATACATCGTACTAAGCTATATTTGCAAAAACCATTTAAAAAACCACGACAGAGAAACGGGGGGCAAAAATCTTGTCTCTATTAGCGGAAAGAAAGCTGGCTGGTCAGTATATAGGGCACAGATCCCAACGCACAAATTCCGGGTTGCCATAACTTTCGTTCTTTGCGCTTCAGTCAGAGTTCCTTTGTCCATTTTGTTCGTCGTTATCTCTTCTTGTTACAAAAAGTGGAATGGAATCTCCCCGACCCAACACTTTGTGGAGAGCGTCACTGTACTATCTGTTTTATTTATTTATTCCTTTCGTCATGGCTTGAGATCACATGATCAACGTAACCGCTATGTTAGTAGAGGACATCTGTACTATTTATTACTGTATCTGTTTTATTTTATCTATTGTACTTATTATTCAAGGTCAAATCAATTCTTTTTTCTTTGTTTAATATTCGTAATACTTTTAGTGTAGTTTATAAATATATAAATTTTATATACTAATACTAAATTTAATATTATAAAAAATTGAATTACAAATAACTTCGGTTAAGTCCCATCGTTGGGACTATTATATTCATGACCAAATAAATTTTTTTCTCTTATTATTTTTAAATTTGATGTTTTGTGTTTAATAATATTTTAATGTAATTTGTTAATATATACTAATTCAAAACTTATGAAAAATTAAATCACAAATAAATTCAATCAAACCTTATTAACTGATTAATAATATTTTAATGTAATTTGTAAATATATACTAATTCAAAACTTATGAAAAATTAAATCACAAATAAATTCAATCAAACCTTATTAACTGATTAATAATATTTTAATGTAATTTGTAAATATATACTAATTCAAAACTTATGAAAAATTAAATCACAAATAAATTCAATCAAACCTTATTAACTGATTAAACCACATAAAATACAATAGAACCTTAATAATTGAATTAGACACCTAAAATATGGTAGAAGAAATAATTAATAATATATCAATAAAATTAAAAAAAAAAAAACTATTGGGAAGAATAAAATTAAAATATAATTTATATAATTGGTGGGTCATAAAATTAAAAAAAAATATTGGGAAGAGTGTTTTTAGATTGATCGAGATAGTAGAAGCTGAGATAGAATGTTGGGACTCATTCAAGATTTAGAAAATATCCAATCATTGGATTTGCTATAATAAAGCCCTATTGGAAAACGGTGAAAACCCTAGCTAATCACAGTATCTTAGGCAGTACTAAGATTAACAAATTAGGCTCCGTCGGAAAGATCGATAAGCAAAATGGGAACCACCGGTGACGGCGGTGGAATTAAAATGTTAGATTTAAAATTAAAAAAAAAAAAAACTTTTTTTTTAATAAAATCTTTTTGTTTTTACTAGCTTGGGAGAAGAGAATTGAAGCAATAAAGAATTTTCAAGAGCTAATTAATATAATCCTCCATTGTTAAGTAATTTAAACAGCAGACTAATTATTCAAAATTTATGAGAACAGATTGAAAAATATATGATTAATTACTGGAAAAACCAGCAAATGAAATACAAAATAGCAACGTTGTATATATGTACCTCTTCTTGGTTGCCTTAGCTTCTCCGGAGTGGAGTGAAGTTACGTTGTTGGATTATGAAGTTTCTCGGGACGAAAGATATATACCCATATATATATATATACGTACACCCACGCATATAGATACAAGAGTAGACGTAGAAAGATGGTTTCCTAATACTAAGCACAAATATTGCTGGAGATCAGAGGTGATGAAAGGGGGAGAAGACGTAAGCAGAAGTATAAATTTACTTTGTTTTTTTAGAAAAAAAAATGTCACAAAAATTTACTAAGAAAGGAAAGAGTTGCCGGCGCGGGTTTGCATGGGGCGGTGGACACGTCGTCGACACGTGGCAGCTCCGCAGCAACTTTCTCTGCCGCTATCCCTCCCACGCTCAACACGCGTCACCCTCTCCCAAAGACTATCTTGCACGTGTGGGGGGGGCCGTCGTTCCAACCCGGCTCAGCCCGCCCGCCCGCGCCGCTGCTTCTCATGGATCCATCTATCGGGTCCGGGTCGTACCGGAACTGCATGCATGGAATGGCATGGCATTGAAGAATCAGATGCATGTATATATGATATAATGCACGTGCATGTATCTGTTTAACTTCAATTTTGTGTTGGAAATTTATTTATTAATTATTGCTCGAGCTTATCTTCTGAACAGGAAAAGGGAAAGAAAATAATAATTATGCTACTTCTAACTAATTTAATGAGTAAAAATCTTATAAGAGTACACGTATATAAATTCTCTTTAATTGTGCATTCAAAAAACAAAAACATTCTCTTTAATTGTATCTGTGCAATTTGTGTGATTGTAAAGTTGTATATTGTGCTATAAATATTATACGTTTAGTGTTTAATGTTTAATGTTTAATGTTTAATAATTACTCCGTATTATTTAATTTGGCATATAAAGTCTGTTGGTACCAAAATTATTATTTAATTTGTGTAATAATGTTAGTTGACATATGTTGATTATGAACCAAAGAAAATTATGGTGAATTATATGTTAGAAAAAAATAATAGAAAATGACATTGTAAGTGGTTATTTTGTGATATAAATATATGCGAGGTTCATTTTTTATTTAGGTCAGGTCAAAATTGATTCGGATTCTTCGTAATGAGACGAAAAGATCAATATATTGTATGCTCAAAACGGATAATAATGAGTGAATGAAAAATTGATTCTCAAAGTAAACCATTTGAGTTGGAAAATAGAGGTGGAAAGACTTGAAACAAGCACTTTTCCCACATTGGAAAAACAAGGGGATTTGCACCACTATATATATACAAGAGCCTTTTAAAAAGATGTTGAATTGTATGACATAGATGCTCTTTCTCACTCGTAGGAATCAGATGATGCAAGCCATTTTCCTTGATTTGATGACTGTGTTTTTATTTATTTGTTACCTTTTCTATTCTCTCTTTTATGTAATAAGGGTATTTCTGACATTTATATGAATTTTTAATTGTAGATATTATATTTTTGGTCTGTTATGCATATTTTTAGGGATAAATTTAAGGTAGTTTTGAATTCTTTTCTTATTTACCATTGAGTCTCCCACCACCCATCATAGATCTCCGTGGTGTCAAAGTCAAGGATCAGCGCGAGAAGATCTTCGATCAAGTTACGGAAACGTTGCGAGAGTGGGATATTTTCCAGGTGACGAAACGGGGGATCCTGTTCAGTATATTGGACGAAATGATCGACAGGATTTGCATGTTTCATGAACAAGACAATGAGATTAAGAAAACCGGACGAATTATAAGAAATTTGTAGGTTATGATTAGTTTTTATCCAACTATGAATATTAATATTGAGAATCTATTTTTTTGTGCATCGCGCATATAGAATACTAGTAATTGTCCCGTGCGATGCACGAATTATTATTAATTTAACAAATTTACCAATTAAATTATTGACATTCTCTGAATTAACAAAGAAAATAATGGTTGTGGAAACAGAAAAACGTACTTGAGTTCTTGAACTCAGAATTAGTTTGATTAAAAATGTAAGTATAACTATACAAAGTAATATTTAATATTTTTAAAAGTTTAATTATGCTATTATTATGTTGATTTTAAAGTTTATTGTTACTTGTATTATTATTTGAATATGATTTTTTAAAGGAATTTGAATTTGACATAACTACTTTAATTATATAACTAACGTATTTAAATAAAACTTGTAAATAAAATAACATGCGATATTTGTCGAAAATCTCAACCAAAAACTTATTCATTTGAAAAAGATTATTTATGTAAGAATTATATTTATTTTATATCTAATTTCTCCTCTTTATATATGTGGAGTCAAATTAATTATAATTGAGGTTTAAATGAATAAATACACAAATTATATTAAATATAAAACTTTACCAATAAATTTGAACACAATAAACTTTTTTCCATACTTCATTATGCTTTAATATATATATATATATATATATATATATATATATATATATATATATATATATATATATATATATATATATATATATATATATATTGAGAGAGAGAGAGAGAGATAGAGCTATATATAATAATAAAATGTAATTTATAAAATATAAATACACATAATAATTTCAAAAAAATATGTATAAATACATCTACCCACACAATTAATGCATTCATGCTTGCTAATCTTGTTTCTATCAAAATGCATTCATACTTTGGAGGAAAAATTTTGTGGCTAGATTCTGCTTTATTATATATATAAAGATAAAGACTAGCTTAGTGCAGCTACAACCACTCGAATTTTCAATATTCCTTTTTATTTCTCATCAAACGAATGACATCTTCTTCTGATCCTAGCTATTCTTAGCATGATATTGGGAAATCTCATTGCTATTACTCAAACAAGCATGAAACGTATGCTTGCCTATTCGTCCATAGGTCAAATCAGATATGTCATTATTGGAATAATTGTTGGAGACTCAAATGATGGATATGCAAGCATGATAACTTATATGATGTTCTTGTTCTATATCTCCATGAATCTAGGAGCTTTTGCTTGCATTGTATTATTTGGTCTACGTACCGGAATGGATAACATTTGAGATTATGCATGATTATACACAAAAGATCTTCCTAATGATTTTCTCATGACCTCCCATATAGGAGAGGTCACTACATGCCATCTGAGCACAAGGTGCTTGACATTTCCATCTTAATTAATATGTCTGATTTCAAAAAAAAATCTTAATTAATATGTCATTTCAATAGTACCCGTAATTAGTCATCAACGTAACACGGACATTTAGTCATTCTCCTAATATATGCCGTTATTTTGGATAGAGAAACCCACATGTGTTTCTTGCTTGAATTGTAATTTGAGGATAATATAGTAACTTTTGAATACCACATATATTTCTTTTAACTATTAACAATTTTAATTCTCACATTATGAATAGTTTAAACCCGAACATATGTTCTCTTTTCCATTTAAAATTGACTAAATTAAATCATCCATGAAGATCATCTCCAATATATATAATAAAAACTTGCTAGGTATTGTTTAGGTGATCTCCGTCCAAGAAAGTTTGACTGAAAACTAAAAATTTGTCATGTTTAGTTTTAGTCCAAAATAACCCCATCCATTAGGCTAAATATATCAGCTTGATCTTTCATATTTAATAAAGCATTTAACTTTTTGTCATTGTTTACTCCACATGTTTAATGATTTTCCCACAATTGGTGCATGTCTATAAAAATTACCACTATAACTTTACAAGTGACGAAAAAATATAAACTTTTAGCACTTTGAAAATGCTACCTAATTGAACTTGTGAAATCAAAAGTGACGATTAATCAACATTTTCTAAATAAAAATTTATTGAACGCATATAATTAAACTAAATAACACAATTTTAAATTGTAACGGATCCAGTATGGGGGCAGCTTCCCCCACTCACCCCACCCCACCCCGTATATAATCCTTATATATATACTAGTTTTTTACGCGCATTGCACGATTGGAATAATGCCTAATATTTTTTTTTTTAAAATAAGTATTTTAAAGTATATCAAGGCAAGATTGTATTGGAATTGGTCATGCATAGATAATTGAATGTTAAATTTGCGTATTTAAATAGGCAATTCTAAATTTACAAATGCAAGATGATATAGTCAAGATTGATTATAATTGTCAATAAAATAATTGTATAGGTATTGTTGAAACCAAATACGGGACATAAGGGAGAGCAAATAAAAATTAGGACATAATAAAATATTAAATATATACTAATATTAAAGAGCTAACTGCTGATTGTCAAACAAACACATTGCGAGATAGTTTCTCACTTCAATTTGTTGTGTGATTTGAATACTCTTTTTGTCAAATAAATCCCTCAAGTAGTTAATATAATTGACTTAATTATATATATATATATATATATATATATATATATATATATATATATATATATATATATATATATATATACCCTTAGCTCATTGTACATGTTAATTTAAACAGCGATTTTTTTCAAATATCTTTTTACCAATCGTGGATATAATTCGCTGGTCAAATTCGCTAATATAATCCGCTAATTGCTGATTGTCAAACAATGACATTGTAAGGTAGTTCTCACTTCAATTTGTTGTGTGATTTGAATACTCTCTTTGTCAACAAATCACTCAAGTAGTTAATATGATTGGCTTTATTAATTATATTTTTTTAATTTTTTCATGGTATTAATAAAATACTTGGTAAATAAATATATATCACTATTTTTTTATAACTTTGATATTTAATTAAAAAAGTGCAAAAAAAAAAAAAAAAAAAAGACAATGTAGTGAATATACTCCTGAATTGATGAATTTGAATGTAAAGAATTTTTACATTGGAGAAATATACAGATAATATAACTAATAAAATTATTTCTATTAATTAATTTATTGATAATGAAATACTTTTTTTTAATAAAGACATTGTAGGGACAATGTAGCAAATATAATTAATTAATGAATTTCAATGTAAAGAATTTTTATATTAGAGAAAAATAAATACAATATAACTAATGAGATTATTTCTCTTATTTAATTTATTGATAATGAATAATTGTTTTTTTTGAATAAAGAGATTGTAGACATATAATTCTAAATTAAAGAAATGCATATGTATTATTTTTTGTTGTAGCTACTAAATTATTATTTTTTTTTGAATGCTACTAAATTATTATTTAATTTAATAAGAATATAATAGAGTACTAATTATGCCAACTTTAGTTGG